GTATTTGCAGACATATTGTGAGTTCATTTTGCGGCACGTTGCTGGAGATGTCTTAAGCAACTTCATATTTGAAATTGAGCTATGATGCTTTAGGTTGTTATATAGATAAAATATATGAATAAATAAAAGAAACTCAAAGAAGTTGGAGTGTCCGTACTGTTAGGTTGTTATAGATGCTCCACCCAAAATATCAATCTGCTATTTATCAGGCTAGTCATAGTGGGAGTAACTTAGCTAGTAACATAGCACACTTCAAGAAAATTTTGCTTATGTGACATGTAGTTAATGAGAAGTGATAACATAATATGTTACTGTAACATAGCGCTTCCCAATACAAACTGAGTCTACAAACTAATAAATGAAGTCCTCTATGACACTACTACTATGTTATTTTGCACTATAAAGGTAGTAACTTAGACTAGTGTCATATGCATGAAACTAGTATAAGTTACTCCCCACTATGACCAGCCTCAAGGTTTTGGTTACTGTTCAAAATTTCAAAATTTCTCGTGGTTACCACGTATTTCGGTGCCCCTGGGTAAATGCCCATAAAGAGCAAAAAATATCATTTTTTGAATATTTTTAATTTAAACGCTCGATTTATAGTAAAGTACGTACGTAGGATCAAAATAATGCCATGAGAGTTCGTTCTGGCATGTTGGCAGGAACCTAGTTCCTGTTTTGAGAGGTCTCTGGTTCAAATGTCCGTTCACTCACTTATTTGAATTCAAAATTCAAGTATAAAATTCACTTGAAATATTCTCGGTATTTCTCGAACCGTGGTAACCAACTTTTACCGGCCCCCCTCGGTAAAAATGCCTTGTCCGGCAACCAAAACATTGCTATTTATCCCCTCTCCCGAACCTCGATTTGGACCCGTTGGGGCTTTGGCGTACCTTCGCTGGTCTACCTTGCCGCTAAACCACAGTCGTAGGATCCCTCCATCGCGGCAGCTAGCCTCCCCCAATCCGTTTGGTGAAATATTATTATGTGTATTTTGAGGGTTTCATTGCTTATTTTTAGGGAAAGATGATGGAATTGGACGAGGAGTACTTCTACAATGAGTTCATGTAATCAACGCATTTAAAATCTCACATATTAGCCGAGCTCTAGGGGAGTCCGGACGTCGACCACATTGGAATCTGACACTCTAGATCCACCCAAAAACCAACTTTGTTCCGCTTGAACGGTCGGCTCTAGAACCCCCATGCATTTAGACCGCTTTACCCGTCATCCACCTACCAACATCCATGCTGATGCTCCCCTGAAGAGGCTTACTCCGTCTACCTGCATTCCACATCTCTTGCTCCACTTTCCTCGACCCTTTAAAGTAATTCGACCATCCCCCAGGCCCCAAGTCCATTGTCCGAGCCCTAGTTCGCACTCGCCATTTGTCGGTGCTAAAACCGGCGGATTTCGGTTAGGGGGTCCCGAGCTGGTGATCGGGGCATGATGGTGAACAGGAGATAAAGAGATACCGTTTAACCAGGTCTAGGCCCTCTCGAAGAGGTAAACCCCTAAGTCCTCATTGTATTGTTTTGGTTGTGGATGGGGTACAAAGTACAGATGATCTACCTCGAGATCACATGAGTGAGTTCTAACCTCTAATCCTTGAATGCATGCCTCTACAGACTAAATCCCCTGACTTATATAAGCATCGGAGGTATTTAGGGTTTACACATGGTCGTTATAATCTAGTGATAAACATGCCAAACATTCAAATACGCCTTGAAGTGCACACTAAGCATTCGGAGAATTCCATCTTGACTACGTCCAGGGCCAGGGCATATGTTGCCCATTCTTCAGCTGTGGACGGGTCCTCGGCCCGGCCCATGAATGCCAGGCCGACCTGGTGTGCACCCATAATCCAGGACAACGTCACCATGGTCATTTGGTCATTTTTGTGTCCAAACAATGGCCCAACTTCACATCAATAAATTGGTAAAAGTAGTAGAGTACACAAGCTAGCTGGAATATAATGATACATTTTGACCCAAAATCTGACATGTGAGTAAGCCGTACATGTAGCGTGATGCTCGCTCTGAATTTTGCAACTGCCAAGATTCCAAGAGAACATTTAGCAGGCAGAACATGTAGCGGCTAAATTTCGTGTTTTGACCTTTTTGGCATACAAATTCAGGATCTGACCGGGGTATGTGGTCAAATCCCGAAAAATTTTCAAACCGGGGTCAGATCCTGAATTTGTATGCCAAAAGGGTCAAAACACGAAATTTAGCCACATGTAGCGTGGTACTCACTCTGAATTTTGCATGAGGGCCGAGATTCCAACATGTGAGCAGGCAGGAGCAGGACAGGCGTGAATCACGTTCTCAATAAATAAACAAACCTTGCCGGCAGGCCTGGGCTCCCAGTCCTAACAACCTCTAGGAGAGTCTCAATATTGGGCAAATTGACATAATAATTGTCATTATGATAAGGACGGGTCATACGCCCAGGGAGCCAGCCGCCGCCTCCAAAAGGATAGAGTTCTTGCCACCCGCCGGCGCCGGCGCCGGCGCCGGTCCGTCCTGTCTCCGGTGGCCTTTGTGCCATGGAGGCGGAGTGGATCTCGGCCCTTGCCGGTGGGAGGGCTCCGTTTTTAGATTTTTTTTCGACCGTTGTTAGGGTTTGTGTCCTGCTCAGGAAGGCGAGACGGCGGCGGCTCCCTGAAGACGGAATAAAGGTCTTCCCGCCTAGCCCTCGTTTCGGTGATGCGTCTTGCATCATCGACGGGCGCATGGAGGTGTGCCTCCGACGGATCTGTCTTTGGTGGGTTTGCTCAGATCTGTTCGTCTTTCGTCTTAGTTCGTGTGTTTTCAGGTTGGATCTTTTTTGATCTACACTCTTCATCCACGGCGGTTGCTATATTGGTCGTTGGTTCTATGGGGCCTTAGCACGACGACTTCCCGACTGTCTACTACAACAAGGTTTGTCCATCTCCGACGAGGGAGGGGCGATGACAGTGGCGTGCCTTCGGCTCGCTTCATTGCTTGTAGTCGTCGCTAGGTGGTCTACGGATCTGGATGTAGTTTATTATTTCTAGTGTTCATTGTACTACCTTGATTGAAGATGAATAGATTGAAAGGTTTTCCCGCAATTTTTTTTGTCATTATAACAATTCTGACAAAAAAAGCAGCTAGAGTCTATCAAATGGGGCTCAATGGTCATAATTTTTGGAGCAATTTAGGACAGTATAACCGAGCATAAAGCGAGCCCTCTCAACGATTTGCATTTCTGACAGTCTGGTTTGACGATCTGGGCATCTCTGCCGTCGGATCCCCTATTTACAGCCGTCTGTCCCGCATGTGGCCCAGCTGTCCTAATGGGTTGCTGCACTCCAGGCCGAAATGATGAAATCTGGTAAACTGGGCATGTTCGGCCCATAAGTAGAGTGTATTGCACTCGTGCGCTCGTTATTTTTTCCCATAAAGGAGATAGAGCGACGCAGGATACCTGGGAGAAGGATCGACCCAAAGGCGGTGTAGATAAAGAGGAGAGGCATCGATCCAAGGCGATGTGGGGCGCGCGCTGGGATCGGCCGGGGCACCTAGGACCAGTCACATCCTCTTCGACTTCTCCCTTCACTTAGGCCCTCCATGCCCTCATCCGCCCATCCACCGCTGGTGGCTCCAGGAGGGGCACCAAACCCGCAAGCACTGGCGACGACACGCTGTTTCCGCTCCACCGGCAGCCCTTTCTGGTCTAAGCCCAACTCGCCGCGGTCAGACGCGGCGGCCAGGCAGTGCCTCTCCTTCCACCGGTCCCGAGATCTGCCGACATCAGCACCAGGTGCGTAATGTCGGCACGCCTCCTCCTGATGTGAGCTTCACTTGGAATTATTTTTTTCTGGTTACTATAGGATAAAAGTGAAGTGTGTTTGCCGGAGTTCAAGTCCCAGACTTGACAATGGTGCTCGTATTTACCTTGAATTATTTCAGGCCTTCTAGCGATGTGCGTTCAGTTAGAGGAGATGTTCCTGCCGACTACGAAGGCATCTATGACAACTTCGTCAATCTTAAGAATGTGCTGGCTCAGCCTCTCGGATGCCTCATAGGGGTAGGGTGTACGTGCGTGCATTCAGAAGGTTGATTGTATGCTTGTGTATGTGAGCGACTTCGATTATTGTACTGTGCTAGAAAAACAGTGTCGGTCTTATTACACACGGTTTGCCTTTCCCAGTGAGTTGTGGATCATACGCAGCTGA